CTGTCTTATAAGCAAGTATATATGTTATTTAATAGTTCCATTGACATCAAATTTTAAAATATTTTTCCACACAAAAAACCCAAAAGGTAAGAGGTTAACAATCAAAAATATCTTACAACTAATTATAATGAAAACTTATTACAAATAAAATTATTAATTATGTAAGTTCTGCATGAGTATATAACTTGTAGTTTGTTTATTATTTGACACATCAAAACTTCAACTCCAGTATAAAATATGAGACAATCCTTGTATCAATATAAGAAAGATATTTCTGCAAATGGCAACAAATATTAATAAGATTAAAGACAAAAAAGAGTACTCTGGAGGCATGGTAACTCAGCAGAGCACTGGACTTGCAATCCAAATATCTCAGGTTCATACCTATCCTGGCCAGCCCAGATCAGCAGCCTTGATGTGTTGTTTGGAAAAGCATTTAATCAGCATAATAGTCAATAACAGTGTAGTCAAGCCAAACGTTCAAAGGCATATTTTAGTCAAAAATTGATATAAAACTCCCAAAACATCCTCTATTAAGAACTTAGCTCATTATTATTAACAAATTCCTATCGGTTTTTATAAATACACATTCTATAGTCTGTGTCAATACTTAACTATCACTGATCCTCCTAACCAACTAAAGCTAATCAACCATTCATAGTGAGTAAATCCTCTATAAACTTGTTAATTCTCATGTGCCATGTTGAAAATTTTCCAATAACATGATCTACCAGTGTATTGTTGATTGATTATATGATTGATATTTACTGGCATATCATCATTAGTATATGTAAGTTTAGAGGTAGTGGGAGGAAAGTGTCTTGTCCAGTGACACAACAGTGGCTGACCAAAATGCACTGTTTAATCCACATCCTTCTGGTCATGATTATGGCATAACTTTTCAACAGTCCACCATGATTCCTTAAGTTTTACATTTGTCTCTATGACTACTAATAGTAACCTTCATACATGATCAAAGTCAAATAAAACTGATATTAAATCTAGTTTGCACTGTCCGTGGATGGATCTTTGTACTAAAATAGGACTGTATAAATTGAACAAGGAACTTGTTTACAAAGGACAACTCCCCGTTATATCAAGACTTCGGTCTGAACTTGTGCAAACAGAGGGATAGGCATACTTAAAATCAATGAACACTGAAGTTCATTCATACTCTACCTTGTAAAACAAAATCTTAAAACTTGAAATATCAAATACAGACCTTGCCCATAGGGAAACTGTATCACAGTTAAATCTGGCCATCTTGTGATAAATTGCTCATTCACCCAACTACCATTGATAAAGGGTACATTCATGAATATTCAAGGACCTGTTTCTTTAAATAAAAAAGTTCTCTCATCTTTGTGCCAGGAGTAGGCACTGTTGATAGAAACACAAAATAACAAATGAACATATTTTGCCACAAAAATGTACTACCAAGAAATGAGAAAATTTATGATGAAACACAATACGGAAGATGATCTACACAAGAATTTTAAAATAAAATAGGATAGCTAAAAGTGACAAAAAAACCCAACAAATTTTTCTGTCAGATATCTTTGGACATTTATGATGCTTTAAATACTTGTACCCGTAAAGAACAATTATTATATTAGCAAGCAAGCAGTTTTTTTCAACATAGGAACATCATTTGGAATAGATTTTTAACCTATGTTGGTTAAGCAAGCAGGAGAAAAATTGTAGTGAATATATTTAATCTATAGTATTTCTCAACACAATAGTAAAAAAAAATTTGGAGACATTGTATATACTCACTTATAACTTGAGCCCTATTGCAAACTTCACAGGCCAAGATCTACAACAGCATCATGTACCAGCAAACCTGGGTTAACGAAGTTTGTTTGCAGTATTCAGTAGGACAAACAACACAGACTACTGGTACATCATGTGATGGCAGATCAGGGTATATGTTGTTTGCAGTTTGACTAAACCTATAAGCAGGTATATATGGTAAATTAAAAACTGGTAGTGACCATATCATGATATTGCTATTTATACAAATTTAAAAAAAATATATTAAATTTTGCTAAAGTGACATCTGGACTTATCACTGGAGACATGCAGTATGTCAAATTAATACTGAAATAATACCAACAAGATGAACAAACTCTTTCTCTGAATCATGTAAGAAAATATATAATTATCAATAAGACTAACTTGTTTCAATTAATGGAGTCCACATTAATGAGGTAAACCATTTGAAAAAAAAAGGTTTATCTTCGGTAAACAATTTTAATGAATGAAGTGTTATAAATGCTTCAATCCTGTGTTAAATAAGAACAGATTTGTTTATAGCAGGTTGCCTTACATTTTTCATCTGTTTATATAAACAAATTTCATTCACAATCACAGAACCTGTAAGAAAATCAATAATCTCTGCCAAGAATGATTTATTTTTCACCACCCACTATATACTGTTGGGGATCATTTAAAGCTGTGTGTGGATGAACTGTTCATTAGAAAACAGATCTCAAAATATACAATAGTGTCAAATATGATCAAAATTTCAATGAGTTAGTCTACACAGCAGCATGGTGTATTACATTTATACAAGGTTTGCTCTGATCTCAAATATGATATCTACTTTCCATGACAACTGATCTTTCCTATTTACCTACCTCAGTGTCTGGTTGTAAGTGTAATCCAAATAGAAGTACTTTGGTGATCAATTAATGCATAAAAGTCATAAGTAGTGGCCTCAAGTCACACAGAAAATCCAGTATGGTTACTACTAACAATTCAGTCATGAAGTGTGATGACATTCATTGACAGTCCAATAAATATTTAGGTCACATGACAAAACACATGGGAGGCTACTCTCATTGTCATAAATGTAATATATCAGGCCCACACTTAGTATTAGCTGTAATATTTACAAGATTCACTTAATTATTGGGCAATAGAAATTACATCAAATAAAAAGAATTTGTTTATAATGTAAATAAGTATCATGCAGAATATTAAAAATATGGCCTTTTTCCTAGTATATTCATTATTATAAAAATTGACCAGTATTGTAGATACTAAGCTCATGGAAATGATAATGGAGCACAACTTAATGTCTCATGACCCATTATAAAAAAAAATTGTATATTACTTAAAATATTCACATGTATAACAATTTGTATTTTTATTCCTAAAAATCACACAGGCTAAAAATGACTCAGAACTCAATAAGGATGGGAGAATTTTCTATAATGATACAGTAACCTACAGTACTTAACTTTTCCACCCCACCCCACCAAATTTAATGTTGTTCTTGCACAGAAGTTGCACTGATTAAATTATCAGTTCTTATTATCATTTACAAAAAAGCTATTATCTCCATGCAGAGACTTTATTAATTGTGTGATCACTGTCATAATCTAATAATGACACTTTTTGTTTTACATACCTTTTAAAGTTATGTAAAATCTGCACTTGGAGGACTACATGTTTATGACTCTTTGTTAGGTTTTTTTTTCTTAATGTTTCTTTCTTTCTTTCCATAATTTTATGTTGAGATTTTAAAAACTTAACTGAATTGGCTCTTTACTGCCAGGATTATGCTGGTGTGTCACAATACCCTATACCTACACCTTTTACCTTTTCTACTAATGTTTGATTTTATACTTGTACTTTCTATTGTTTAATCTCTAGTGCTATTTTATTTTATTTTTTCTTGTAACATTTTTCCTTTTTATATATGTTCTCTTTTCTCTTCTTTGATTATCAGTCTTTCCATTTGCTATTTTGTCTCCTATCCCTCAATGTACAGTAATGGTTGATTTGGATTGGTTTGGTGTCTTATGGCACAGCAACACAAGCAGGTTATTTAGTATTGATGCAATTGGAGCAGTGTCTTGCCCAAAAACAGACCATGGTAGCTGACACTGGTTGGTTCAATGATAGGACTGAATCCACTCTCTTTTGGTCAGAGTCTGGCAAGCAAACCACAAAACCACCAAAGCTCCGAAGATAATGCTGAAACTAGTATCAGGACATTTGTTTCACCTATTGGAGGGTATGGTATTATCTTATAAAACTGCTGAAATCAGCAATCTGAAACCTCTCAGTTTCATTTCCCACCAGTGTGTGAGGCAAAGGGTTTGAAGAATAAACTGTGATAAAAATTATCTTTTCATTCTAATTTCTGCTAAAAGATTTGCTATTTTTTTTTATCTAGAAAGTAGTGATCAGACAGCTGTAAGAAAAATGTTTAAAGCATGGAACTTTTCAACTACAACCTGAACTCCAGATCAAGGAAACTAATATACATTACTGATCAAATTAAAGTCTGACATTTTTATCAGTTAGACCATTTATCTCACATTTTTCAAGGGTATGGTTTGTGTTAAAATAATGAAACTTGAACCAAGTTTACACTTTCCAGTTTTCATTTGAAAAAGGTGTATATTCTCCCTCTGCCAAAGCATGCTTCACATTCAGGCACCATGTTCCCTATCCATAACGAATTTCAGATTCTGCAAACACAACTTCTTTATTCCATATATGATCTAATGCTTTCTTGAGAAGTTGTTAAACCTAAGTTGTTAAGCATGACTGTTTGGTAACTAATAATGACTATATATATATATATATATATATATATATATATATATATATATATATATATATATATATATATATATATACACATACACATACACATACACATACACACACACAAATACACACACATATATTTAAAAAAATTAAACAACACTTGGAGATTATTTCATACTTGAGTATAATGAAAAGCTATCATAAGGATGAGTGTGTGATTTGGATTTTTAATGTAGCTTTGACATTTTTCAGTCATATCACAACAATGTCTGCAGTTATGCAGTTTATGGTAACGTCTAGCATTGGAGCATCATTCTGCAGACATGTAGCATCATGTCCCAACCAGTCATATTATCCTAAAACCAGGCTGACCTGTCTTAACATTAACCTCTAGTGAGGCAGCTGTTAGTACCATATATTTAAAAGTCTACTGAATGACTTGGCTGGGGTTTGAACCCCCAACCTCCAGCATCCAAGGTGGATGCTCTAACCACTAGGCCACAGAAGCAGTCCTATCATACAGAACTACAGTAGCTTTTTATGCATGAACCATTTTAGGTCTGACATTCCAATGCTATGCCAATAAAAGGTTCATAACCAATGTAACAAAACTAAGCAGAAGAGAAAATTTAATCAAGGCATTTGATCAGTGCTTGTAAAGTATCTTTTTTATAAATGTCATAGCGTACATAAATAATCATGCAAAACTGTTTCATAATCTGTGAGTTCTATACAAAAATGATTAAATCAGCATATATGTAATAACATGAATGCCTAATATCTGGAATCCTTGGCACAAATGAAATCTGAAAAATTAATGAAATTTTGTACTTGTCCATCAGTCTTCTCCCATGATTATAGAAATTTTGATTGCTTTCAGCAATTAATATTAAAAGTCAATTTGAAAGGTTTTATTTAACTTTTGTTTTGAACTTTCATATATCAAAGCCTACATATTTGTCATAATAAATTGTCATAATAAATTTCTACAGAATCATTTAAAAATATTACCTATACTGGTTTGTAGACATGATTTATCACTGGAACAAAGATCTCAACAATTACATTATTACAGACTTGCAAAAAAGAACACAAACAATTACAATTATTGGAAAAAATTCAAAAAATTATGTGCATTCAAACATAGAAGATTGATATTGATGTTTTATCTTCTTTTAATATAATGTTCCCCCCCTTGACCCTCTTAGATAAGTGCATAAATTCAGCAGGATTAATGATAATATCTTTTTCAAGATGTCCACTGTGTCAGCTGACATATTGAATGTCAGATGGGTACTATATTTATTCAGGACCAACACATGAAGTCTTGTAGTGAAATCCCATGTGGATGTGAGTACCTGTTTGATTGATTGATTTAATGGCGAACCAGCACTTTTAGACTATTTATCGCCATACAGTAGGTCATATGTGTAAAAGGAAAGGTTCAATATCGACCATCGATATAGTAAAAAATCCATAGTAGTTAAATATAAAATGGTAAATGTTGGTAACAGTTAAAGATGTTGGTTCCCAATCAACGGGAAATGTAAATGATGTATCTTGATGAAAAAGATGTAAATAATAGTATTTAATTGGTATTTACATTAGTTAAAAATTAGTTTGGGTGAGGTCATACAAGTTACAGTTTAAAATAAAGATCTACTTCCTTTAGGAAATCTAAAATACTAGTGATTTGAATAGTATCAAAAAGTTCCTGCACGTCGTGTACATTATAGTATTTATCACACGTAGGTTGCAGGTCGGAACATGTGGTCATAAAGTGTTTAACAGTAAATGGTACATTCCAAGGAACGCACTCCTGTGGATCTTCACCTTTTAGTATGTGTGAGAGGGTAATGTGTTTATGACCGACTCTGATTCTTGTAATGACAACCTTCTCCCTACGAATAGTTCTGTAGGAAGGAGTCCATTCTCCCAAGATTGGTTTGATGGCTGAGAAGTTTGTTATTGATTGCATCATCCCATGATACCTGCCACTTTTGACATAGATACTTTTTGATACAAGGTTTAAAATCAGAATATGGTAATTTAAAATCCGATGGTTCTAAAGATAGGGCCATCTTAGCAGCCTGGTCTGCTTCTTCGTTATCTCTAATACCAATATGGCTAGGTAGCCAACAGTATATTATATTGCATGAGGCACTAAGCTCAGAGTTTTTGACCAGAACATTCACCAAAAGTGGATTATCTAGTTTGATATTGTGTAGCGCCTGAAGCACTGATAATGAGTCACAGAAGATAATACTATTTTGAATGTGTTTAGATTCGATAAATGTCAGAGCAAGGTCTATTGCTCTGATTTCCGATGAAAATATGGATGCATCATTTGGCAAACGCTCTTTGGTTATGTGTTTGCCACTGACGAAGGCTGCAGCAGCCTTAGCAGTAACCTTTGATCCATCAGTATAAAATTTAGCATAATGTGTAAAGTCATTGAGAAGATCATGATAAGAGTTCAAGAATAGGATAGGGTTTGTCTCAGATTTTTTCCGATCGTGTAACGTAAAAATCACTTGGGGTTGCTTAATGAGCCAAGGTGGTGTTTTCGAGACAAATGTTTTCTGGATTGAATATAGATTACATTTGATTTGGTCAAAGCAGGATGATATTCTAATACCAAATGAAGGTATAGCATTTGGTTTATTTACATATAAAGCTTTGTAATTTGGATGAAAAACGGCTGAAAAAGCAGGGTTCAGAGGGTTGGATCATAACTTAAGAGCATAATGTGCAGAAAGCATTTCTCTGCGATGCGATAAAGGTGGTTCATTCGCTTCCGCGAGAAGGCTTTCACACGGAGATGTCTTAAATGTTCCTAGAGCAAGTCTTATTCCCTGATGATGAATTGGGTCAAGCATTTTCAAATATGACTTCCTAGCTGAACCATAAACAATGCATCCATAGTCTAAGATGGAACGGATAAATGTTCTATACAAATTAAGGAGGACTTTTTTATCAGCACCCCAGTCAGTGTGACCAATTACTTTAAGCAAATTTAAAGCTTTTAAGCATTTAGCTTTCAAATTCTTAATGTGTGGTATAAATGTCAACTTTTTGTCAAATAGAATACCCAAGAATTTTGTTTCCTCAACAACTGGAATAAGTGTTCCATCCAGCGTGAGTTTAGGGTCATCATGATGTCTTCGCAACTGACAGAAATGCATGCATACTGTTTTTGATTTTGAAAATTTGAAACTGTTATTACTGGCCCAACTTTGAATCTTATTGATGTTTTGCTGGAGTTGCCTCTCAATTGCATGCATGTGCTTTGAGCGATAACAAGTTAAAAAATCATCAACATATAATGAGCAATCAACACCGGGAGCTAAGCATTTGGTGATACTATTGATTTTGATGTTGAATAACGTCACAGATAAAATACTGCCCTGGGGCACACCCATCTCTTGCTGGTGCATATCGGAGAGGGTAGAGCCCACTCGAACTTTGAATTCCCTGTCAGAGAGAAAATTGGAGATAAATGAGGGCCGACGGCCTTTGAGTCCCAGATCGTGCAGGTCATTTAGTATCCCGTACTTCCATGTTGTGTCATAGGCATTTTCTAAATAAAAAAAAAACGCTACTAAATGTTCTTTCTTGATAAAGGTATCAAAATTAATGTTTCTAGTCTGACTAGATGATCATTAGTATTACGTCCATATCGAAAGAAACTTTGGAAAGGAGATATTAAATTGTTAGTTTCCAAGTAGCAGAGAAGTCGAGAATTGATCATTCGTTCCATTTTTTTGCACACACAACTTGTCAGTGCAATTGGTCGATAGCTGTTGGGGTCTTCGCTATCTTTACCGGGTTTGGGAACTGGTATTACAGTTGCTTCTTTCCAGTTTTTTGGTATATTACCAATAAGCCATAAATCATTGAAGAATTTCAAAAGAGTTATTAATGATGATTCTGGAAGGTGTTTCAAAAACTGGTAATGTATTTCATCAGGCCCAGTGGATGTATCATGGGTCTTATCTAAAGCCTCCCTAAGCTTCGATAATGAGAACAACTATAATGAGTACCTGTATTGGATGAACAAAAAGGATTGCAAATGGCTTCCATGGTGGTCATATTGAATGAGTGAGGACATGTCTGATGGACACTAACATTAATTAGGACCAACTAAACATCATACAAAGTCTTTTGATGAAAACCATCACAATGAAATAACCATCCATTAAAGATGAGTAGCAATTAAAAAAATTTTTTTAAGTTGACCAAAAGTATATATATCAAAACCTTTGAGAGAGCCACTATTAGAGCTGGGTACCATGACAAATTTTGTTCCACCATACAACATTGTATGCCTGAACATACCACAATAATTACCAAGGTATATCACAATAATAATAGGGGACCAGCAATGTAATTTTCTCTGACTTATAGAAAAATAATATCATATTATATCCATTATATTATCTGAAATAAAATCTATTATCTTGAGATAAAAGAAAATAAAATATCTCCACTCAAATTGCATCCCCTGCCCATCCCCCAATTAAATGTATAGTACCTAAGAGTCCATGAAATGCACTGTGTCTATGTTAATTGTTGTACAGGTTGCCATCTAACTTTAAAATGGTATGATTCTTTTTATGCTATAGTCAACAACCATCAAAATATTACATTGTTCTGACATAAGACAATTTCCTGAAAAAAACAGGAAGTGATAAACTAAAGCTTACAATTGTTTTACCAGCAATATTGACATAACTAGCTATAGTCTGCCTATGCATCCTGGTTTGTTTGTACCCCCCAACCGATTTCAAAAACAAAAATGTTTAATGTGATAAAAAGTGCACAGAATAATGCATACACTCTGGGTTAGTTTATTTCCATCAGAAACTGCAGTTCATTCTATTTGGTAAATGCCTGATAGTTCCATAAATTGCCATAATGTTGAGAGTTTGGAATTATATCCATTTGCACACATGAATACAGAAATTAAACCACTTGTTAAATCTGTACAAAATGCAAATTTATTGTCATTCTTTTCCTTTGCTTGATTTGATATTGTAAATATCAGAAGCAGACGACATATGTATGTACATCTGTTGTCATGCTCACACCCCTTTGCTGAAAATGAACTTGACCAGGAACTGGAAATGGATCTTAAGTATATCTGTCTATTATATATAGAGAACTTCAATTAAGCATGAAAAGTGCAGAGGGTGTTGGTGTTAGAGCTATTCCAGTCTACAATCAAGTTAGAAATTATAAATCAATGAATGAATTGACTAAGTTACATGCACTTTTTATCACATTAAAGGTTATCATTATTGAAATTGGTAGTAGGGTACAAACAAATTGGTAGGTATAGCCAGACTACCCATCATAGGAAGGGAGTGATACATGAAAATTGCAAAATAAAATAAAAAAAGTAAAAACAAACAAAACTAAAAAATGTGGCTGATCAAGTTTAAAAGAAAGTCTGAACATAAAAATACAAAAAGAACAAAACAAAACAAATTGGGGATGCTGCTGCAAA